GTTGATTTTGCTTTTTGTAACTCTGGTAGTGATGCAAAATAAACAAATGCTGCTTCTCTCTGATTGCCATGTCTATTATCTGGTATATATACCATTTTTGCTTTGAGATTATCAAGCTGACAAAGTAGTGTTGCATCACATGCTCTGTGTAGTACTCCTCTTAGTATAAGTTTGAATTTATTTCTAATTCCCATCTCTTTTGTATTGAATTTACTACTTGTTACTCTTACTGTTTTTCCTGCTTCATAGTAAATTGCCCACACATTTTGTAGGCTATGTCTTTTTTCTTTATTTGTGCATCTAACTCTAACATAAGCAGCTCTATGCTCTGTCATCATACTCTATTCAATATTTACTAGAACTCCATATGGTTTTAGACATCTTTTTATATTTCCCACTCTTGAATTCCCAGATAGTTAATGACAATTCCTTAGATAACGATTCTTTTCTGACTTCTTCTTTTAGTAAAGTCTTCTGATTTGCATTATTTTCAGGTGCTCACATGGAATTATATATATCTTTACTGTCTTTTGAGATAACACTTTCTTCAATATTGCTCTCTTTTATATTTTCTTTTTTCTTGGTTATACCTATCTATTTTTTAATTTCTTGTGTTGCATGGTCTTCTTGTCTGACTTCTGCATATATTAGGGTTGCTTTGGTTTCTGCATCTTCTGTGTTATCTTTTTTTAATACTTCAACTTCACTATTATTCAAGTTCATTTCCGCTAATCTTATCAGTACTAACTCTTCTTTTTCCTAGAAGCTTTATCTTCTGCATCATTAGCAGTTTCACGTTTTCTCTTTAAGGTTTCCTCCCGGAGGCTTGTTTCACTCTTCTGTATATTGAGCTCCATTTTCATCAAAGTACATATTATTTCTAACCTTTTTTCTTTACTTAATTTGGCTCTTTCTTTCTTTCTTTATGCTTGTTGTAATCTCTGTTACTTTGCCAATGAGTACCTGTTTTTCAATTGACAATTTTTTATCTTAATCAGCTTTACATAAGGCCCAGTTGTAAATTTCTATAGCACTACGAATTATCGATATAAATTCTAGGTTTTGATACCCAAGATATCTCACTATATCTCGATCTATATTCAAAATATATGCACTTTGCTCTGCATATATTTCCTGTTTCTTGCTTTCTGGTGCCAAAGCAAAATCTTTAATTTGCATTATGTCTATGTGTTCAATCTTTAATATATTATATCTGTGTTTAAATTATGTTAAGTGATTTTCTTTTCGAAAGTTCTAGAGTGCACGTTAAGATTTAATAAAATATGAACACATGATGTCTTATTTATCTTTATTTTGTTTTGTGTTTGTTTGTACACATGTTGTTTGTTGTTTGTTTGTTTGTTTATGCATAACACAGTGATCTACAATTCAGGGTCTAGATGTGTCCTCAAAAAAAACAAAAAAATTTTTCTACAGAAGAATTTTTTCCAAAATTTAGTCTTCGAACAAAGATATTTCTAATGCTTGTATTGATAGATTTGTTGTTGTTAAACAAAATATATGTAAATTTAGGTGCTCTTTTTTTTTTTCTTAGACTACTTTGTATTGTTTCCTAAGTCTAAAAGTGTTTTATTTCCTATTTTTCTTTCTGTTCAAATTTGGTACGGAGGATCAGTGGAAAGAGTTTTTTTGTATACAATTTTGGCAGGATTGCCAAATTTAAAAAAAATAATAATAATAATACATATTTTAAAACAGCATTAGCTAATAAAATAAGTTGTTTAATATGATAATATGTATTTTTAAGCAGCATTAATTAATAAAATGTGTTGTTTAATATATTTTTAAGCTATTTATTAATGCTGTTAGTCTGTATAGGGTTCATTTTCTATTTCTGTTAGTGTTAAATAATAACTAGCATTAGTTAATACTTTTCAAATGCTTTTTAAACTTCCTAATGATAGATATAAATAAATATTTCTATATATATTAAATTTTTCTATATAGATTATCTAAAAAATATTTATTTAGACAGATATACTGTATATCTAGATATTTATATATTTTTATATAATTTATTTCTTAATCTAGAAGAATATTTATCCAGATAAATATACTGTATATATATCTAAATATATTTATGTGATTTGTGATTTATTTTTGATTTATTACAATAATTGTCCAAAAGATATTACAGGAGAATTATAGTGACCTAGTTATGTATGTGTTCACAAATTAAAGGTCTTGGTTGGTTGATTAATAAAAATAAATATTTGCTCTGAAAATACCTATTGTCAAATGGATCTGTGACAAGTTTTTTAAACCTTAAATAGTTTCTATTTACTTAGTAAATATATTATATCGATATTTTAATATATATATAAATAGTAAGCAGAACTTTGCTAACAAGACTATAGTTCTAAAAAAGAGTTTAGCAGTAGTTTTTAGAGTAATAATGGTTAATCTAGCTTAGAGAACTTCAACCTATATTCGGCATACAAGCCAGAAGCAAAGCATATAAAGAAGGAAAAAGCAGGCGGCACTCTGAACCATAGCAAATTTTGGTAGAACTAAAGTTCTGTCAATAAAATTGCCAAGTCTTTCTGGGACTCAGAGATACAACAAATTATATATTTTTCTCAAGCCATACTTTTTTTAACTGTTCAAGTGGTTTTTTTTTATTTTCTCACATCCTCCTGTCGATCTTCTAAAAAATTTTAATAAAAAGTGAAGATTTGGCTTATCCTCTCCAAAAGATCAATATTGTTTATTTTTCAAATTTGAACGGATTAGTGGAATGCAACTATGTGTTTGTTTATAAACAAATATGGTGCTATTTTATAAAACTCAGCCTGAGAACTCTAATTTTGAATTAAAATGAGCAATGAAGCCATCCAGAGTTGGTGAAAAGGTTAGAAAGTAAATTTAATATTAAGGCGAAGCTTTATAGTAGAGATATACAAATATTACATTTGTTTATAATTTTTATTAGTCATGCATGGGCTATAATAGTGCCTTCAGAGTTTTAGATTTCTTTTCATATTTTTCTTTTTCGCAATTAGTGTTTCTTTTTTCTTTTCTGTTTTTTCTTTTTCTGATCATTTTTGTACATTTTTTTAAAAAAATTTCCCTTTTTGTCTCATACCTCTCAAGAAGAAGGAAGAATTAGAAGAGAAAAAAGAGATCCTGATGTGGTATACAACAACCTGTCAAATGATCAAGGGGGCATTATTTCGATGATCAAAATCTGAAATAAGGTTTGAATTACAAGTGAAACTAATAGTTGTTATAGCAGATCACATTGGGTATTTAACCTGGTAAGTTTTTATTGAGTTAAAGCAACAAGTTGTAAGAATTTAGTACATTCGTGTATAAATTATATAACAGCTCACATGAATAAAAGCTGGATTACTTAAACAAAAATATATATATATAAATATCAGTTGCTCTATTACAATAATAATAAAAATTAATTATCTTAATATTGTTATATATAAATATCTGATAGCTGACTTTTTCATTTTAATTAAAAATTTTATTAAGTAACCAATACCTCAACAATAGATTACCAATGTTTATATTGACAAATATATAATAGTCAATATCCAATTAAAATTTTTTAATAGAATAATCAAAATATCAATTAAGTTTCTTCAAGATATTGTCTTATCTGATATTTGTATAAAATTTTCTTATAAAAAAATCAAAATATCAGATAAATATTAGCAACATATCAATAGTTGATGATATTTTGTTATGTATTATAAACATATTGAACAGCTAATAGTTTGTCTGATATTTTCATGTTCGACCTGTGATTTTTTAAAAAATAAAGTGCTAAGTTTTAGTAAATTGATTAAGCTACAAAATAGCGGCTTTTTTAAATATCTTTTTTAAATCGAAAGTTATTGGCTTTTAAAGTTTGTGTAGTCTTTAAGTGTCGCGCACTGTACAGTATATATTATACCATTTGATAAATTGCATAAATTTTAATAGTATAGATATAAAAACACTATTCATAGTTTTATTGATATAATTAATCTTTATTAATTTCTTTTAAATTAAAAATTATTAGCATTTCTTTGGAAAAGTTGATAATTTTAGATGAGATTTGTTGTATGATTTACAATGCTATATAAATCATCTCTATTTGGTATTTACGTTTGTTCCATCTCAATATCTTCAATTAAATCTCGAGCAACCGAATTAGCAATTTCTCGGCGAATCTCTGGGGTAATAAGATAATGTGACTTAATTTTAACCAATCCAAGAAGCGCATCTTTTTGGTCAGGTGTCAAATCTTGTTTATATCTGTCAAGAAAAAGGTTTACATCTGTCAGGAATCAAAAGAAGGTTTATTGTGTACAAGTAAAATTCTTTTACATACCTTTGAGTAAATACCAGAAGTGATTGATGCCATAATACTGGCATAGTTCTTTCATCGTGCTTAAATCGAATAAAATGAAAAACCAGGGCGTCCACTACTTTAAAGGGTAGCGCATATTTTTTATCAAGTAATATGCGAATAAATAGACTAGTAGATCCCGTATAGTCCATTTCGGAAAGACGCAACAATGCGGCAGAAGAGTGAAGCATTGGAATGCTTACTTTTAATATTACACTTCCAATAATAGCAGCCTCTTTCAATGTGCACGTACCGGACTGAAATAATTTATTCAATAATATTAATTGAAGAATTGAAAGATTGACATGTGATATTATTACTTACCTCGCATAGTGGAAATAGGATTCCTTTAAAAAAAGCAGCAGGTTTGTATAAAGCCTTTTTGAGTGCCATATATAAATGACAATTAAGTTTCTTGTTTTCATGTATGTCATCTCGAACTTTCTCTAATAAGACGAGATCAAAAAATCTGTACATTCGCAATTAACAATAATTAGCAATCATTATTTTAGATGATTCAATAAAGCAGTAGAAACTAATGACATAAAGTAAACCTACCTTTGTGTTTGTTTATCTTTAAGATTTGAAACGAAAATTTTCGTTGCTTGAAAGGTAGCATTTGGGGTCCAGTTCTCAGGATGCGTAAGATACAATATTTCTTCCCAGTTAGGCAATGACGGAATTATTTTAAATGCTTTGGGAAGTTTTCCTGACTTATATCGACTAAGTAAGGTACCAACCCTGGTATTTGAACATGTTAATACCCATAATCTTAATTTGTAGAAATAAATAAATCAATTTACTTTGTATATACTTCGACCACTTTTGGATTTATCGAAGGCTGGCCACTTTTCACTTAAGATTTATAAATTATTAATCAAATATTTAATGTATAAATAACTATATATTTTTTTCCAACCTATTGAACTTGATTGATCCAAATTTTGTAAGGCAATCTTTTCGATTATTATATCGGCCAAAGTTTTCCTCTCTTTTGGTGCGTTTGGCAAAAATTTGTCGAGAATTGCTTGATCAGTTTCGTCGATCTCCTGCGCATTAAATAAGGATCAATTTCAATCTCTAAGTGGACAATATACAAAATAAATCAATCACTTACTAGTTCTTCATATTCAAAGTTATCGCCATTATCTGAAATATTGTCATCTTGATCGCTTTCATCGTCTATCATGGAATAAAGCATCGCATTTTGATCATTTTTACTATTTCTATGTAATATAAAAAACTAGTAAATTAGTAAACAGTTCTTATAATTGTTCATAAAAATACAGAATTCGACAATTACAACTTATACACTTGATTTTCGAGCTCAATTTCTTCCTGTTGCTCCCTTACGATTTTGAGAATTTTTCGTGAAAGGTCAGGTTCAGCATATTCCTTTAATGTAAGATATAGTCATTGTAGAAATATTATACGATATGTCGGAAAACAAATACGAAAAATAAAACAGCATACGTCTTCCTTATCCCTGCGGGAGATAAATTTTTCTTTATAATGTTTCCTTTTGGGCAAGTCATCCTCTGCGAGTTGAACATGAAGAGGATTACGCCGCTCTTTTTTCAGAAGACGTTCTTTTCCCATTTTAAAGAATTACAACTTTTCTTTAGACATATCACATTAAATACAGATAATCTGTGCATGACTGCAAGATTTTTGAAATAGCCAATCAAATTACACCAGAATTGAACATCTAACCAGTATGTAAGAATTAAAATAAAATTTTGTTGGTTTGGTTAAGTGAGTATTTATATTCATTGAATTTAGTTGTCAATAGTGCTTGGGTCCGTTCAAAAAATCCGTTGGATCTTCCGTATCGGATAACGAAAAAATTACGCACTTTTGCAAAAGTTTGCAATCAACAATTTTATACAAATACAATATTTTAAAAACTTGCAAAAA